GGCAGAATTGACAGGACATGGCAAATGTTTAGCTATAAAGGCTGAGGGATAGAAAAGAACCAGAGAAGACACCAAGGTTTTGGGCTTGGGTGACAGCAAGTATGTTGGTACCATCACTAAATTTGATCTTCTCTAGTAGAGGATGTTAATGCAATGGATTGAATTTCTTTGATGTCTAGAGTATTTGAGCACTTTTTCATAAGGGTAGTGATGTAATAGAACACTCGGGCTTAGGGGCTAAAATGACCTAAGTTTGAATCTCTCCTCTGACATTAGCAGGGTGACTTTGTTTGTTTGTTTGTTTTTTTGGTGAGGCAATTGGGGTTAAGTGACTTGCCCAGGGTCACACAGCTAGTAAGTGTCAAGTATCTGGTCTGAGACCAGATTTGAACTCAGGTCCTCTTGACTCCAGGGCCAGTACTCTATCCACTGTGCCACCTTGCTGCCCCTAGCAGGGTGACTTTAGACAAATCCCTTAATCTCTCTTTGCCTCAGTTTCCTTATCTATATGGGGTTAATACTTATGGTTACCTACATCATGCGGTTGTGAGAAACAAATGAGATAGTGTATATAAAATGCTTTGTAAACCTTAAAGCACTATGTAAATCAGCTATTGTTATAGCTTCTTTTGAGAACCAAAGATGTAACCGCTCACGGCAGCCTTTTCCCATTCTTGATCTCTCTACAGCTTTTGACACTGTTGACCCCCAATTTACTCTTGAACACTATCTCCATTCTTGGCTTCCCTTACTTGATTTCTCTTGGTTCTGCATTTACCTGGCTGACTATTCATTCCTTCTCAGTCTCCTTTGCTGGGTCACCATCCTTTCACCCAACAAAGGTGTGTTTCCCAGGGTTCTACCCTGGGCTTTTGTCTCTTCTTTCTCTATACTCCCTTGGTAATATCATATACTCCCATAGGCTAAATTACCACATCTATGCAAATGAACCCCCAGATATATAGATATAGATATAGGTATAGGTATAGATTGATTGATCTATCATCTATCTATCTATATCTATCTATCTATCTATCTATCCTTGCACTCACCCAGGTTCATAACCTATGAGTCATTCTTGACTCTTTCTTCTCCTTCAGTTTTCTTATCCAGTCGCTTGTCCATTCTATCTCCATAAAATTTGTCAAAGCTGTTACCTGTGTACTTATCTCTTCTTGCCTGTACTATTACAATAGCTCATTAATTAGCCTCCCAGCTTCTAGTCTATCCCCTTTCTAATACATTCATTCTCCAGATAGTAGCCAAATTAATATTCCTAAAGTACAGATCTGGCTATGTCAGTCCCATACACAAAAATCTTCAATGACTTCCTATTTCCTCTAGGATAAAATACAAATTTCTGAGCCTGGTATTTAAGACCCTTAAAAATCTGACTCCCCTCAATCTTTCCAGTATTTTATATTGGCAGTAGCCAAATGGCACCATGGACAGAAAAACTGAACCTCAAGTGAGGAAGACCTGAGTTTGAATTCTGATTCAAACATTAGCTGTGTGATCCTGGACAAATCATTTAACCTCTACCTCAGTTTCCTTATCTGCAAAAAGGGATAATAATAGCACCTACCTCCCAGGGTTGTTGTGAGGATGAAATGAGATAACATTTGTAAAGCACTTTACTATATGATGCTATTATTATTATCATTATTGTTATTGTTATTATTCACTCACTGCATTTTAGATTGTTTTGTTATCTATTGTCCTCATTTGCAACATTTCATCTCTTGGCCCCTTTTCTTTTCATCATGTCATGGAATCCATTCTTCCCCTTCAATTCAATTCAATAAATATTTATTAGGTACCTATTTAATTGCCCGTGAGGTAGCTAGGTGGTACAGTGGCCAGAGTCCTGGTCCTGGAGTCAGGAAGACCTGAGTTCAAATCTGGCCTGAGACACTTACTAGCTGTGTGACCCTGGCCAAGTCACTTAACCCTGTTTGCCTCCATTTTGTCATCTGTAAAATTAGCTGGAGAAGGAAATGGCAAAACACTCCAGTATCTTTACCAAGAAAACCCCAAATGGAATCAAGAAGAGTTAGACATGACTGAAGCAACTGAACAATTACAAAGTACCTACTGTGTGCTAGGCACTATGCTAAGCACTGGGAATACAAATAAGAAAAAGATAGTTCTTGCTCTCAAGGAGCTTACAGTGTAATGGAGTAAGATAGTATACAAAAGGAAGCTTAAATGGGTGTGGGGGTGGAGCCAGCCACCAGCAGTACCCATCTCAGTAGAAACCAAGTAGAACCAGTGATGGAAAGTGGGCAGTTATCTGCAAAGTTCTGAGCCCTCTGTGGGAGAACGTTATCGATATGTACTACTGAGAGGAAAGGCAACTGAGGGAGTTGAGAAGGTGTTGAGTATCAATAGCTGAGTCAGTCTGCATGGTGATAAGATTTCAGGTGATCACCTTATCCTGGGGGTGGCATGATATTCAGTGTAGTAAAGTTGATGGAAAAGGGAGAGTGAATTCAACTGAGGGAAATTGAATGGAAGGAAAATTGAATTGAATTGAATCATATTGAATTGAATTGTTCCCATCAGCCACATTTTATCACTTGCCCCCTTGTCTTGGCATCTTTGCATTTGGAATCTCTATTTCCTCCTCCTAAGACCCCTAACTTCTTTACAACTCAGTCACCATCCTTTCCTTGATCCCCCAGGGATTAGCACTCTCTTTCTTTTTAAAGGATTTTGTATTTTTTGTGCAGACTTTGTATGTATGTATGTATGTATACATGTACATGTATACATATGTATACACATATGTACATATATACATACTCATATGCACACATATATGACTTTGTTGTCCCCATACCCACCCCCAGCAGATCAAAAATTTCTTGAAGACAAGGAACGATTAGCTTTTAACTTTATATTCCAAGTACTTTGCACATATTAAGTGCTTAGTGGGTCTGTTATTGGACTGAGCTCTCTCTTCATATTCTTCGGCCACTCATTTTGCAGAATTTCCCCTATTGTTATACATTTGTGCCAATTACTTATAGATTTTAGTTGCTAAGACTTCTATCATAAATGTTTATTGTAGATTCTTCCCTCCCCCCCCCATTCTGGATACCTTGTTTTTGGTTAGGCCAAAACCTTTTTTTCTTACCTAATTCAAGTATTTTGTATCTTTTCTCCACAGTTGTGAAAGATATGATTCCATTTCCTTCAACATTGTTTTAACGATTTAAAACACTGGATCATTGATCTGTTTGGAATTTATTGTGGTGTACAGTGTGTGGAGTGTCTCTATATTTTTCACCAAATTGTGATCCATTTTGAGTTAAATAATGTCTTGGTGTCCTGACCAACTCTCTTCCCCAGTACATATATCTTAAATATTTATTCATTATCTCTTCCCAAAGCCAATTTATATACTTTAGTTACCAAATGAAATGATTCAGCTCCTACTTTGTTTCCTATTAATGGTATTTACATTGAAGCATATGTCAATAAAGCCAAAGCTATTGTTTCTTTTCTACATTCCTATAGTAGTTACATTATATCATTATATAAACACTCTTACTGTCTTGTTGTGCCGCTTTCCCTCCAAGGTAGTTACTTCGAGAAAGCCGATGATTCAAACAACTCTGCTACTGTTTCATTATCCCTGCTTAGAAATTACATTGAGCCAATGCTTAGTTAAGAATAGTCTTCAAGTTCAGAGTTTTTCCTTGTTGAAGTTCTTCATACCTGTTTGTAGTATCAAAGATCTTACACAACCTTGGCCTATTCTCTAGGAATAGCTGAAATTCTTGTGTGCATTATTAAATGATCATTGATAGCACTATTATCAAATAATCACTTATTAATATCATTATTAAATTATATTAAATAAAAACATATGCCTAATCTAGCTAAGGAGGTAGTCTTAGTGTAATTTCTCTAGATTCGTGACATGATATATGAGCTCTTTCTATTATTCTTCATCTTGGGTGAAAAATCTTGAGTGATTCAGATAGGAAGATTTTTGATGTGTGATGTTTTTTTCCTTGGTTCGTTTTAAAATAATTTCTCCATCACTATAGTTTGGGATTCTGATGATTGAATATCTGGGTGAGTTGAAACTGGGTTTATCCTTTTTTTAACCATCTAGTGTATTCTACAAATCTGCAATATATCTCTTAATTTTAATAATTCTGAGAAATTTTCTCGCATGATTTTCTGAAATCATATCAGATTCTTTTCTTTTTCATCCTTTTTAGGAATTTCATTATTTCTTAGTTTATTTCTCCAAGTCTCCTCTATTTTTTTACCCTTATTTGAAGGTTATTGGGTAATTTTCAATTGTGTTGGTTTTTTAGCTCATATTTGCTGATTGTTCTGCTACCTATACTGTTTTGACTTCCAATAGAACAATTCTGTTTCTCATCCACATTTTTTATGTTATCCATGGGCAATTCCAAGTTAAGTTTTATTATCCTCTTGTTGTATGACCCCCCCTTTTACTTTTTCAATTGTACGTTTATTTAATTCCATTGATAGAGGACATTGTTGGTGTTAAATTAATCTTTTCCCTCACTTGATGTCTCCCTTTCAATTTTGTTTAATCCATAATATTTATTCATTGCTAGAAGGTTTGTTTTTTTAAAATAAATTTGTTGTATCTTTTCCTTTTCCACAAGTTTCCTTTGGCAATCTATTACTGCCTTTTTTAAGGAAGATGTTGGGAGTTCTAAGTTCTCTTATGTCCTTACTCTATTATTTTGCCAGAAGTCAGATACTTTTATTAAGCTTACCAAATAAAGATAAAAAAAGGTTAAAATATGTAAATCTCTTGGCAAGGTAATTGAATAACCATGGGGATGGGGAAAGAGTGGAGTCTACAGATACACCATTAATCTTCTATTTGTTCTCCTACAAAACAAGAAAATTTCAAATGGTTACTTAGTATTAGTTGACATAGATCTGTTAGAAACTTGAATATGTTTATTAGATTCCAAGTTGGATTTGCCTTTTATTCTGTACAGGTAGATTCTTATGATGTGACTGTGGATGAAGAACTCGGAGATATACTTCTGATCAAAATTGAAAAACGAAAGTATTGGCTCCATGATGACTGGTATCTTAAGTATATCACTTTGAAGACTCCCTATGGAGACTACATTGAGTTCCCCTGCTACCGCTGGTTCACAGGGGAGGGCGAAATTGTCCTCCGAGATGGGAAAGGTGAGTCCTAGATGACTTCTTTCAAGGGCTCAGATCGCAATGTAAGTATGTCCTGGGGGATGCTATGCCTACCAGAGAACCAAGGTCGTAGGGATCATCTTGTCCAACATCACCATCTTGGAGATGAGGAGGCCCAGAGGAATTCAATGACTAGTCCAAAGACACACAAAGAGTGAATACTAGAACAGGCATTTGAATTGAGGTCCTCTGACTCTAGGTTCCATTAGGTGAGGCCATTGATTACTAGTAGCTCAGTGCCCTGTGAACATGTGTATCTTAGATCTAGTTGGTGTGTTTGTATCTGAGCTGAGATCAGTATAGCTCAATATCATCAAAAACCTTTTTATCAGACTGATGGTCACTAAGTGACTGTGAGACTCCAAGACTCTACATCATGAGAATCAGTCTCTAGGCCTCAGTTTCTTTACCTGTAAAATAAGGGATTTTCACCAGTTAGTGTCTAGGGACCCTTCCAGCTCTAAGCCTGTGATCCTATGAATATTTGGGATCCAGAGAGAATCTGCCTAATTGAATTTGAAGGATGCCAGGTAAGTGGGGGTAAATCTTAACCACCTACTACTTCTAGGACTGATGTGCACAACTTTTAGGCTTGATAATTTAATATTTTGTGCTTTTGGACAGAAACCTAAGTACTCTTCTGACTTCTTAGCTTGGGCCTAGAAGAGCTTATGGAAAGCCTCACCTCATTGTCTGACATAAACTGACCTTGAGATTTGCTTTTCTTGCTTGAAATCCCTCTTCTTTTATATAAAGTGTAAGACCACGGGGTGGGAGAGCTCCCTTCTCTTAGTAATGTCCCCTGCCATGACCATGTTCCTCTTGATCTCCTGTAGCAAGGAGTGGTGCCAGAATTCAGGACTGAAGAGGCTCAATCTGATGATGGTCCAGCACTTGCCAGGACTTCTTAGAACAGGACTTGATACCACAGGATCTCCATTCCTTCCTATAAGTTGGTGATTCCCTCTAGTTGTGTCTATACTTGTCTTCTCTTCATTCTTTCACAGCAAAGCTGGCTCGGGATGACCAAATTCACATCCTCAAGCAGCACAGACGCAAAGAACTGGAAATGCGGCAGAAACTCTATCGGTAAGTTGTGGCATTGAAACAATTTGATGGTGTGATCCCTAATGGTTCCTGCTAATGCTGTTTCTAGGATGATTGCACTTTATGGTCTATGTTGCAGTGGATGACCTGCTTGCAATTCTCTATATGCGACATTCCATCTCTTGGCCCCAGGCCTTGGCACAAGTTGCTCCCCATGCCTGGAACACATTCCCTTCTCACCTGCACCTCAAAGTATCCTTGGTTTCCTTCAAAGCTCAGCTCAACTGCCACCTCCCATAAGAAACCTATCCTACTGTTTCCCCTCCCCCAGACACTTTTACTGGGGTATCTGTAACTGTTACTGTTACTGGGTTCCTCTCCCTATGAAATTATTTTGGATCTCTTTCACATTTAATTTTCTGTGTATGTGTTGTCTTCCTAATAAAATGTAAGCTTCATGGGGTCAGGGACATCCATTTTTGAGTTTGTGTCCTTAGTACCTAAATAGCTGACATAAGTAGGTGTTTAATAAATGCTGGTTGAATTAAATTGGATTCTGCATGTGAGCAGCTGCCCAAGTCATAAAACACTCTGGCACAAAGTTTCTGTGACCCTTTCTGCTTTCATGTTGCCATGGAGTGAGTTTTTTCCCCACTTCCCATCTCATGTCTCACCACTAAAAAGATGAAGAGGTGGGAGGAGAGAAAGGGATTCAACAGAGCTAAATGACAAGTGTATTGACTCCTGGGAGGGGAGGAGGCATCCCTAGCCGTGAAGCAGGGTAGGCACTGGATTCCTCAGACCAGCCTGGTTTAAGGTGGGGCAGCTCTTTTCCCTAAGATCAGACCTGGCTAGAGAAAGGGATTTCTCCCTGTAGCAGGAAGTGGATGGGAGGGCCTATGCATCATCTTTTTCCCAAGCTCTCTTTTTCTCTCAGCCAAAATTAGAAATATTTAACTCAGCTGTGGACAAGTGATTCCTTTATGGGCACAGCTTACCATTAGAACCCCAGCAACCAGTGTGGCAAACAGCTGTTGGGCCTGCTAAGGGGAAGTTGACACTGGGAGAGGTTCTGAAGAGGGTGGGGAAAGGCTGGTCTTCCATTACATGAGTTGCTTTTGTTTCATCAGAATAACTTCGGGTATCCCAGGGGAAGGTAATTATAGACACAGATGATAAGGAGACTGCATGAACACTGAGTTTGAAGCTGGATCATGAGATCACAGATCTAGAACAGAAAGGACTTTGGGGGCAGCTAGTGTAACTGCCTCATTTGACAGATGGGAAAACCAGAGGAGGGCGACCCAGATGGTGAAGGGCCTCAATGCCACGTCATGCAAAGATTGATTGAAAGAATGAGGGAAAAAAAAGATTTGGAAGGAAGAGAGTTAAATCATAGAATGTTAGAGTTGGAGGTAACCCCTGAGGCCAGCTAGGCTGAGGTCTCTGAATCTTTTTTGTATTGTGGACATCTTTAGCAGACTGGTGAAACCTATGTATTTCATTTCACAGTAATGTTTTTAAATATATAAGATTACAAAGGAAATAAATTATATTGAAATATAGTTATCAGATATTAAAAGAAACTTCATACTCCACAGGTTAAGAACTCCCTGATCCAGTTGAACCTTAAACTGAAAAAGACTTTGATTTTGGCTTGGCTTGGTCTTCTGTCCACATCCCACTGTGGTTAACTCAACCTTTAGTTTTACTGTGGCTGCCCCTCAGGTGTTATACTTCTGTTTTCCTCTGTCTTCTACAATGAGTCAGACTCCCTGGAAATTATATCAGTGATAATATTAGCCATCCTTAGATTCCTCCGATTTGCCCTGACTGACAGGTTAAAGTAGATCCTGCTTAGTCCCAACTCAGTGACTTTCTGCTGCTCATCAGTCAGATGGAACCCATGACCAAATGCTGCCCTCTGGCCAAGCTCCAAATGGCAAAGATGAAAAACCTTCCTGAGCTTCCACACTTCTGCTCTTTGACTGCAATAGCTGGGATCCCTGTCTTCCCCTGAAGTGCTAGCCCAGTGCTAGTCATACCCTGAGGCCCATAGTGTCTTAAGCTCTTTCCATTTTTCTGGCCCAGATGGGAGAGCACCTGTCCCCTCATGTGTAGTTATTGCCCCTATTTAGATGAATATGTAGGAATTGATAAGATGGTGGGCCTCCAGAAGCGGGGCAGCCCAGCTAGAGAAGGGCCTCGAGACCTGCTGTGAAGAGATGATGATGTTTAGGCTGAAGAAGAGAGGACTGAAGGAGAGGTAGAATCACAGAATCATCAAGGGAAAGCCTTACCCCAAAAAGGATCACTTCTATGTTATACGTGACGGTTCGTCGTCCGGCCTTTGCTTGAACACTTTCAGTGATAAGAAACCTACTGCCTCCCACAGAAGCCCATTCCACTTTGGGATAGTCTAATTGTTAGGAAGTTTTTACTGAAATCCAGTCAAAATTTGCCTCTTTGCAACCTGTACCCCATTGGTCCAGGTTCTGCCCTCTAGAGCCGAGAAGAGCATGTCTAAGCCTTCTCCAACATGACTGCTTCAAGTACTCAAAGATAGCTATGATGTCCTGACTCTACCATCTGCCCCACCCCAAGCCTAGGGAGAAATCTCCAGTTCCTTCAACTGACCCCTTAATGTGTGACAGTACAGTAGAAAGACAACTGGATTTTGAGTCAGAGGACTGAGTCTTAAATCGTATCTCCACTATCTCCTGGCTTGTGGGACCAAGTATGTTATTTAACCTCTCAGTGTCCCTGGTAGCTCTAACTGATATGCATCAGTAGAAGGAGGTTCCATTCCAAGATTACCCCATAGCAATGCACATGTAGCCCCAGGCATCCTCCTGCAAAAAAATACCCTTTGAAGCCTAATTTAGTCTTTGATCCTACTGAATCTCCAAGGTTCAATTTGCCTCCTTGAGTTAGAATGACTCATTCAAGTTATTTGCTGCTTACTCTATGTATTTCCACATTGCGATCCTTTTGTGGATTTTGTTTCATGTAAATTTTTGAGCTTCTTTCATGCCGTTCATCTTCCTGCATTTCCATTTCATGCTCTGTCTCAGCTTGATGACCTCTTCAAGTTGGTGCCTAAGTGCCAAACATTTCAGATGTTACTCTGCCTCGCTTCAGCTAATGCACAAGTCAAGACATCACCCATGATGTCATTAGTCCTCCTTGAAAACGAAGGACAAACAACCAAAAACTCATATTGTTTATTACCAAGACCCTGCTACTCTTTAAGGTGCAAGTATCACAGAACCATAAACTCTTAGAGACAGAAGGGACTTAAAGGCCATCTCATCTAGTTCAACCTGTGCCCCTAAAACAATCCTCTCCACAACATGCCTGACAATTTCTAAGACTTCCAGTGAGAGGGACCTATTACTTCCCAAACAAGTCCACTTCTCTTTCATTAGTAGCCTTCAGCTTCCACTCATTGCTTCCAGCTTTGCTTTCTAGGACCAAGCAGAACAAGTCTCAACCCTCTTCCCAATGGGGGTCCATCAAACACCTGATGACAGTGACTATGAGCTCCTCAAGCTCTTCCTCAGGCTAAATATTCCTAGTTCCTTCAACCAATTCTACTTCAGCATGAATTGAACAAGACTACTCACACCAAAACAGCTTAGACCCAGGGCCTTTATTGCCTTTTGAAAATTCATAATTCTTCTAGCTTGAGATGAATCTCAGGTATCCACCTGCTTGAACACGTCAAGGATTTTTTTTTCCTTTCGCCTCTCTCTGTCTCTCTGTCTCTATGTCTCTGTCTCTGTCTCTCTCTCTCTTTCTCTCTCTCTCTCCCCCTCTCTCCCCCTCTCCCCCTCTCTCCTTTAGTTACATTTCCCCCTCCATTTTCAAACATCATCTTCAGTGTTTTTTCCATTTTCAGTTGCTTCTTCTTTGGATTGTTTATTCATCACATCATATTTCCTTCTTCTCATTTAGGTCTTAATTCAGGAAGCTCTGAGTTTTGCACTGTTTGCAAAAAAAAAAAAATCTTTAAAAAAAAATCCTTAGATCTCTGGAAATAAATATAGTGCATAATATATTGAAGTAAAATAACAACTGAATAGATGCAGTCTAAGGACAAACTCTCCATATGAAAAAGCCAGGAAACACACACACACACACACACACACACACACACACACACACGCTGATTTTTTTCTTATCAGACTATAAGAAGTTCCTTCCCAATAAGAAGCTCCCTCTACTAATGTAAGGCAATACCTGCTCCTAAACTTCTAGTTTTAGAGAGTCATCTGGGGTTAAGTGACTTGTCCAGGATCACACAGTTAAGATAGTGTCAAAGGTAGGACTTGAGACCAGGTCTTTCTGACTCAGAAGTTAGCTCCTTAGCTCCAAGCTGCTTCTCTGGCCATTTATTAACACCATAAAATTCTCTTTTCCCTGATGTGTAAGAATGCAAGTTCTTAAATGAGACAGCATACTCCAACAGAAAGAACATTGACCTTAGAATCATGAGACCTGAATTCCAATCCTGGCTCTGCTATTTCCAACCTGTGTCACCTTAGACAAGTCACTTGGATTAGTTAAAAACACTGGGGATGTTCAGCCTGAAGAAGAGAAGACTTGGTAGGGGTTGGGTGGGACACATGGCAGCTATCTTCAAGTATTTGAAGGGTTGTTGCATAGCATAGAGATGAGATTTATTCTGCTTGGGGGAGGGTGTAGAGCTAGGAGCAATGGAGGAGGGAGGGAAGTTTTGGGGAGGTAGACTTAGGCTTAATATAAGGAGAAACTTCTGGATAATTAGAACTATCCAAAGGTAGAATGGACTGCTTCAACAGGTAGTGAGTTCTTCATTACTGAAGGTCTTAAAATAAATCCTGCATGACTACTTGCCATGTGTGTCATAGAGGGGAGTCTTGTTCAGATACGGGTTGGACCACGTGGCTGCTGAAGGCACTTCTAGTTCTGAGATTCTGTGGTTCTGGATGCATGTTCTTAGAGAGTTCATGCCTGTAAGCATTATACTTGTGAATAGAGTGAAGCAGAGCCCTCAGAGTCCTCAGTCAACTTTATTCTCTCAGGGGAGATATGCACCTCTATAAGGATGTGTGAAGTAACTGTAAGGGGGAGGCGTGAGCAGATGGGGGTGAGGAGAGTGGTTAGGAATGGCTTCATGTAGGATGTGACCTTTGAACTGAACCTTGAAGGAAACTAGAGATTCTAAGAGGCAGAAATGAAGAAGGAGTGCACTGCAGGCAGCTTTTGCAAGGAATTTGGCTGAAAAAGCAAAGAGAGATATATAGGCTACATGGATATAGTTATACAGGAGAAATGTATAGTTTGATGTAATAGCAGTTGAATTATAATTGTTAATAGTAATAGTAATTGAAATATGGTAGAAGGGTATAGTTTTGTGGACGAGGGGGATGGGCACATTTAAGGCAGTGGAGAAGGAATCTGCATATAGGAAGATACTGAAGGTTAGAGAGAGGAGGTAATGATTGAGGTGGCATTCTTCTGGAAAAGAAGGGAAGACTCAAAGGTACAGGTAAATGGACAAGGAAACGAGGAGAAGGGTCACCTCATTGTCAGAGACGAGGGGAAAGGAAGAGAGAATAGGGAATTATGTGAAGGGATTTTGAGATAAAAGAGAGAGAGAGAGAGCTAACACTGAAGTATTCAATTTTCTCAGGAAAATAGGAGGTGAGGGCTTCAACTGAGGTGGGGGAACTGTGGCAAGATTAAAGAGAGAAAAGCAAGCTTGGAAAGTCTTTTCTTGGGAGTGACTCAAGGAATCAAACAGGGAAGGATTGCCTTGCTGCAGCAAGGGCCCTGTTGATGGCAGTTAGCATGAATTGTTAACATGCTCAGTTAACAGGGTTGTTTGACTTCTCCAGCTCAATCCAGTAGCAGATGCATTGGAGTAGAGGAAGTGGATAGTTTTGTGTGAGCTAAAGTTATGAACAAGGAATGAGCTGTGATTGTACAAAGGGCAAAAGGGATTCTAGAGTAGAAGACAAAAATAGAGCTGAATTTGGCTAACTATAGAGTCAAGATTGGAGAGGGAGAGAAGTAAAGTCAGAGCAGGGACAATGGCCTGAAGTACTGAGGAGAAGAGGAGTTGGAGATTGTCAGGGATTGTTGCCCTGACAATCGGAGTGAAGAATGAGTTTAGGGGTGTGAGGCATTAGAGAAAGATGGAGTGATAGGAAGTTATGGTCAAGTAGTAGAATGTTAAAGTTTAAAATTAATACAATTAATTTTAAAAATAAATTAATAAAATTTGTGGGTGATAGTGAGATATAGTATACAATGATGGTTTAGGTGTGACTGAAGAGTTGGGAGGTTGGGGAATTTGAGAGAACATCAGTATGGATACTGAACTCCCCTAGTATAAATGGTAGGAGTTGGAGAGGAGAAGAAGACAGTAAGCCAGGTCTTGAACTTGAGAAAGGAGGGAGAATGACCTTAGGGCCAAGTAGACAACCACCACCATTATCTAAATTGGGTAAGAGAGGGTAGCTAGGTGGAACAGTGGATAGAGCACCCGCCCTGAAGTCAGGAGGACCTGAGTTCAAATCCGGCCTCAGACCAAACACTTGACACTTACTAGCTGTGTGACCCTGGGCAAGTCACTTAACCCCAATTGCCTAAAAATTAAAAAAAAAATAAATTGGGTAAGAGATGTGAATGCTGTGATCAATATCAGTACTGTATAGTAAGACTAGAAAGGTAGGTTGGAGCCAGGTGGTGAAGGGCTTTGCATCCCAGATATTTGATAGGGAGCCGCTAGAGTTTATTGAGTAGGAAAGTGACATGGTCAGACCTGAGCTTTAGGAAAGTCACTTTGGCACATGTCAGTCTCATTCTTTTGATTAATAATTTCCCTTGAACTTCTCTACAGTTTTTCTCACTTGCAGTTTCTTTATTCTTCCTCTCAGGTGGATGGAGTGGAACCCTGGATTCCCGTTAAGCATCGATGCCAAATATCATAGTGATTTACCACGAGACATTCAGTTTGACAGCGAGAAAGGAGTAGACTTTGTTTTAAATTACTCCAAAGCGTAAGTTTTTGAGTGCCTAAGAGCTTGACAACAGCAGCTCAGGGCTGCAAGCCCAGGGAGCAACCCATTTCTTTCTATTTACATGCAGTTGACTTTTTGAAAGCCAGCTGAACTTGGCAATAGCCCTAGTCTTTAAGAAGCAAGATGCTGCTGGTAGATTGGTTCTCAGGGCAAACTTTCATCCTGATCTGTAAGAATGGGTAACTGAACAGTTGTATCTCTGATACTCTCAACCAGATTCCCTCTATGTCTGCGACTTGGTTAGCAAAGCTAAGCCTTCTCCAGTCAACCCTCAAAATAACCATACGAGAACAACTAAAAAGGGATTCTGGCCTCTCCCTTAAGGTAGCATGAGCTTATGCAACTGTGGCACCACATGCCCCCTTCAGTTTTGCACTAAATTGATCCACTGGGTATCTTTAAAAAAAAAAGTGGTACTGATTTTTGGTTTTTACATCATCTACATTTCCCAATGTGTTACTTTTCCCTTCCTCTCTCAGGAATAAAGGAATTTTTTTTTAAAAAGGAACAAAAAACAAGAAATAAAAAAAAGAAAAAACAAAGTAACAAGCATTTACCAGTTATCTGTGGGCTAAGTTCTGGGGATACACATACAAGCAAAAGGAAAGACAATTCCTGCCCTCAAGAAGCTTCTATTCTGATGGGGAAAGACAACATACAAAAGGGTACTGAACGACTCAGAGTGTAGGACAGAGAAGGTATCCATTTTGGGGGAATGTTGTCAAAGTCTGGAAAATAGCACAGCAGGGAGGGGAATGAAGCATGGATGGCCTGGGCCCATCTCCAAATGGGAGAAGGACATGACATGACAGAAGGAAGTTCCAGAATGAGAAGGCCCCCGTACTGAGGGAAGTTCCACAGGGAGAAGGAAACTGAGTCATGGTGGTGAAGACCTTGCGGGGGAGAAAGGAAGGGGCAAAACAGGTCAACAAAACTCACCAGCACATCACCAAATCCGACATTATGTTTAGGGTTCCACACCCAGTCTTCTACCTCTGCAAAGAAAGGGGGCAGAAGCATTTTTCTGTCTTTGATTTGGGACCAAGCTTGGTCATTATAAGTTTGTAGCATTCCATTTCTGTGGTTTTACTGTTGTTCTTTCCAGTAATCATGATATATGTTGTTTTTCTGTTTCTGCTTATATCACTCTGCATCAGTTCATATAATCTGTAGGATATTGTAAATGATTAGTTAGGCAAGGTTATCCCCACTTTAGTCTTTTTAAAAAACTTTTTTATTGGTTTTATATATATATGCACACATTATATATATGTGTATATATATATGCACACATTATACACACACACACACACACGTATACGTACACATACGTACATCTCTCAGTCACTTCCAGATACCCTAATCCTTCTGAACTCTCAGAATTGACTGACAAATCAGCCATGACTGACAGCACATGGCAACAGTCCCCACCTACCTCCTGGGGAAGAGATGTCCATAGCATATAGCCATGACATGTGATCCGTTTAGCCATTGGGGCAATTCTCTTCTGATCCTCCTCTCCAACCCTCAAGAGGCAGCCTCATAAGCCTTAGAGATGGAATTCTCCCTTCCCCACCAGGCTACTTCTAAATGATGCCAAACATCCAGATGGAAGTTGGAAGAAAAATCAGTCCCACAATCTCCTCTGTGTCCTAGTTCTCCTGCCCTTGCCCCAGGAGGCTGGGTCCAAGAGCTCCTGCCAGGACCATTCTATATCTCTATCATCACTTGGACCTCATGGGGCCCTTGCTGGAAATTCCTCCACTTGACCACATCTGGACAGGACTTCATGATGATCACGTTTCTCCTAACCCAGGGACCAAAGTCCACGCTCAGACCTCTTAGCTCTGGATCTATGCTCCCAAGTCCCAGGGCTCAGCTCCTACACATCTTGACCACGACTTAATCGTTCATAGTGTAGTATATAGGGCACTGGGCTTGGAGTCAGGAAGAACTGGGTTCAGATCCCACCTCAGGAACTTACTAGCTAGGTAACCCTGGACAAGTTACTCATTCTGTCTCAGCCTTAGGCTCCTCATCTGTAATAATAGATTGCATTTATCTAACACTTTAAGATTTGCCATATAGTTTATGTATGTTATCTCATTTGATTCTCACAACACCCCTGGGAGGCAGGTGCTGTTGGTAATCTCCGTTTTACAGATGGGGAAACCAAGGCTGAAAGGAGTGAAAAGACTTGCCCAGGATCTCACAGCCAGTAAATGTCTGAGGCGGGATTTGATCTCAAGTCTTCTTGACTATATGTCTAGCGCTCTCTAAACCATCACTGAGCTATAGTTATTCCTTCCACACTGTCACTTTCCCCATTGTGGTTTTGATGTATCGCAGGTTAGCATAAGAAATTAAATGGGAATTTGGGGGAGTTTTGTGGAAGCCACAGACTACACATGAAGGCCAGCAGATGACACAGGAAAAGTTTAGAAATTCAGAAATGCATAAAATATATATGTATATAGTGTTATATGATATCAACATATTTTGTCTTTTAATACCATAAATATACAGTTTCTTTTTTGAAGTCAAAATAAGTAAAAAGTTAAAGTTTGCAAAAAAGAATGTGAAAGCCAGCAGACAACACACAAAGGCTAGAAATATAAAGATATCTTAAAAAGTTTAGTAACTTAATAGGATGACAGGCACCCAGGGCAGGCAGTGTGGCACAATGAATAGAGAGCAGGACTTGGAGTTGGGAAGACCTGAGTGCCAATCCAGCCTCAGCCATTTATTAGCTGTGGGACCCTGGGCAAGTCTTTTCACTCCTCTCTACCTCAGTTTCCTCATCTGTAAAATAAGAAGAATAACAGTGCTTACCTCCCAGGGTTGTTGTGAGGATCAAATCAGATCATGCATGGCAAAGTGTTTTGTAAACCTTACAAGCTCTATCTAATTGTTAGCTCTTGTTATTATCATCCCGATGAGGGATTTATTAGATTGACTGAACTTCTTCTAACATCTCTCAAGTAGTCAACTCAGTTGAACAAAACAGTTATTAAATGCTTATCTATCACTATATTGGTATAACACTTCAAAATTTACAAAACTTTGTCACTACAACAACCTTGTGAGGCACATAGGTAGTACAAATATTATCCCCATTTTGCAGAATAGAAAACTGAGGCTGGGAACTGTTGACTTGTCTGAGGTCATGTAGCTAATACTTGACAGAGCCAGGGTTTGAGGTCAGGCCTTTTGTATGCAGATATCTGTGCCAGGCACCCAGGGGAGTATAAAGATGATTAAGATATTTCTTTTATAGAACTCCCTCTACTAGGGAGATACTAGAAAGGGAGCCTGGAGGATGTTGTCAATTATTTCCCAGTCAGGGATTCATATGCTGATCCAAGATAGAACATAAGGCATAGGTATTAACCAAGTGCTGGGTGTGCTCTGAACAAAGAAAGTTCATTTCCAGCTAGGGGAGGAGTCACAATTTAAGCTGGGTCTTTAAGGGGAGAGAAGAGGAAGAAGCCAAGGACAGACAAGTGACAGAAAGAGGAAGGGACTATAGATAAGCACTTTGTAAATGTTGGTTGACTTTGTCAACAACATCTGTTTGCTTGGAATCCTGAGATGACTTTTCACAGTGTTAAGAGACTTTGGATAGAACCCACAGGACATGGTGAAGAGTGGTATATGGTAAAGCTGGAAAGAAGCAGAAAGAGATCTCTTCTTTTGGGCCAGGATGCTTGGTCATAATACTTTTTACAGCATTCAGTTTTATATATTTTTTGTTCTTTCATTTCTATTGTCATGATCATTGTGTATATTGTTTTCTTCATTCTGCTCATTTCACTTTGCATAAGTTCACATAAGTCTTCCCGTGCTTTTTTGTATTCATAATGCTCACTTTCTTAAAGCACATTAATACTTGATTTCATTCACATACTGTAACTTGTTCAGCCATTCTCCAATCAATGAATATCTACTTTTGGGGAGTTATTTGTTGCCACAAAAAGTGCTGCTATGACTATTCGGGTATATATGGGACCTTTCTTTTTGTTGTTGATCTCTTTGGGGTATATGCCTAGAAGTGAGATCTCTGGATCAAAGAGATGGAAAAATTTAATCATTTTCTTCCCATATTTTCAAATTGCTTTCCAGAATGATTAGACCAACTCACATCTCCATCAAGAGTACATTAATGTGCCTATATTTCTGCAACCCCCCATTAATTATTAATTAAGTTTATTTTCTATACCTTAATTTTTTTTGCAGATTTTTTTGAATCCCCATGATTTGTTATGAGGGAGGGTTTCTTTTACTTCTTGTATCTAGTCAGTTAACACATGCTATTGATTCTAGTTCTGAATTCATCACATCCCTTGTATTCCCATTGCTACCACCCCAGTCATGGGTTTCCATTGGCACCTGCCAGGACTTTTGAAATGGCTTCCTCTAGTCTCTTCTTCTCCTTCATCTCAGTGTCAAATGAATCTTTTTAAAATCTAAAATGTCATCTCACTTCTTTTTTTTTTTTTTTTTTTTTTGGGCTAGGCAATGGGGTTAAGTGACTTGCCCAGGGTCACACAGCCAGTAAATGTTAGGTGTCTGAGGCCGGATTTGAACTCGGGTCCTCTTGAATCCAGGGCCAGTGCTCTATCCACTGCCCCACCTAGCTGCCCCCATCATCTCACTTTTTAATGATCCTCCCCACTTACTGACCAAATATAGTTCAGACTCCTTACCCTCACATTCAAGGCCCTCAGAAAAAGGCAACATGATTCTAAGGAAAGAGTTCTGGATTTGAAATTAGAAAGCCTGGGTTCAAATCCTGCCTCTTTTACTTACTACTTAGGTGACTTTAGGTATACCATTTAACTTCTCTGAGACTTGGTTTTCTCATGGAGAAAACTCTAAATGGAGGGGGTTGGACTAGATGAATTCTAAAGTCCTTCTCAGTTCAAAATCTATCATCCTATGCTCAATATGCTTACATTCAAATGGGGAAGATGATATGT